GCCGCCTCCGGCAGGTGGGGCCGGCGCCCTACTCCTTTGAGCCACAGGTACCACCCAAAATGCAGTATTTGTTGAATGAACGGATGCTGTGTGCGTCCCACATGATCTAAGAGCTTGAGGACTCACACCTAGTCATAAAGAAGTGTCTGCTAGTTTTCCATAACCATTTTAAACAAAAGGCACCAGACTTGGCTCAGTTAGGCCTTCCACTCAGATGAGATGGTTTTAGAGGGAAATTTCCAGGATGTGAGCAGAGGGGGCTTGAGAGATTTTATGGCACAAATAATGAGGATGATGACGATAATGATAAAATAATAATAAGCACGGCCCTGAGAACAAAGGCCTTAAATACACAATAACAAGGAGAGGTGGTTGGAAGAAAAGGAGTAGCTCAAAATACATTAACACAGGCAAATTGAATTTGGCCTCAGTCAGAGTCTGAGAAGTGGTTCTGTGGAAGAGAATGAAAACCCCAGCATTCCGCCCTTAAAGAGCCATTCTACGGCGACAATCCTATGGAGCGCTGAGTTAGAGCCTGCCTGGGAGGAAAGCGCCCACCAATACAGGGAGGTTACTCCTTCCAGGGCAAGCCAGGAAGGGGCTCATCCGCTTCATGTGGGTGAACACGCTTGTCCCACGAGGCCATTTCACTTACAGCTTCTTGCTACCGGATCAAGCTCATTTGTTTGCCTATCTGAGTACTAAGTGGAGACCTCGCTCCCGTTGTGTGTGTTATTATAAAACACCTTTCAGTTTGCCACTGCTAAAATGAGGGCTCTAAACAAATGTTCTTTTAGGGCAAAAGCTCCTTAATATAAACTGCATTTAATAAAACTGGTGGTGATTCTAAGAAGAAAAAGGTAAGGCACATTCAGAGAGAATGTCTGCAAGAAATTTGCAATTAATATTTTATAAGACATTTAGATTCTGTAGATTCCTCCTCCTTGCTGTTAAAATTTAAGAGCTTTTTCAAAACTGTATTCCTCTCTGTTATTACATCCTTAATTAAATTAATTTATACTGTGAATGCTCTAATGGTACTGCTGTAGATTTTCAATCAGAAAGGCCTCGCTGTAAGAGACAATATGTGTTAAGACCTTGAAAACAGAATGGCATATGGCAGGCACTGTGCTGACACTGGCACAGGGACACTTGGCCCTGGCATTTGATCATTGAAAAGAGCTCAGTAGTTTTTCCTGTGCCTCGATAAAGCTCTTTATTTTACTTTATTTTTTAATTGAGCTAAATTAGGTCAATGAAAACAAAACAAATCTTGCAAGTTGCCTTTGCAAGGATTTCTCTCTGGGAAACACAATGGTGGGTGAGGTCATTTCTACTGGATCCTACTACCACTGAGCTTGTGCCTACCTGAAACCCTCAACAAAGAGGCCATTTCTAAGCCCAAGCTGATGTATCACCAAAGCAGAGGCAACTGAGATTTGTCCAAGAACACCACGGCCCAGGGGTGGGACGAGTTGGTCTCATGCTGCTGCACCAAACCCAGTGACTCCCTGGGTGGCCCAGGCTTGGCAGACACAGCCAGGGTATTATCTTCAGGCTGTGGAAGCATCATTCGTCAAGGACCTCACGGGTGTGTGAGTGGAGCTGGTATTCTGTCAGAAGCGGCAAAGCACTAAAGCATAAACCACGTAGGCAGTAATTATCTGTCTACCGGCCATCCTCCCCACTGGATCAGCTGGAGTCCCGCCCGGCTTGATCTCTGCTACTTCCTGCCAATACCCCGCTTAGTACCAGGCACACAGTAAGCACCTGGTAAATTACCATTCTGGATGCACAGGTCTCATGAAAAGTCACCATGAGTCAGGTGCTACACCTAAGATTTGATCTGTTGCTTGAGAGCCAAGCAACTGCTTGTAGAGAACACTATCAACCAAGGGCAGGACTCCCAGGCCCGCATTCCTTGCTCTGGTGTTGAGGTATCAGATCTGCTCCCTTTATTTCTACCAGTTTATTTCTGGAACTGATGGTGAGCCTCTCAGAGGATTTACGACAGTGTCTTGGTTACACAGGAAGAGGCTGGCTTGAGAAACGTGTCCTTACTCCACACTCTCAGGAAGGCCCTGCTCCTTCCCCTCCATCCCGGTGCCTCCCCCCACATAGAGGGGCACAAGAGTCCTTTAAGGAGGGCGCCTTAAATCAAGAGCTGAGAGGAGACACACTGACTGAGCAGACAGCCCCGACAGCCTGTTTCTGCCCCCTAAGGAACCGAGATCTTTGTTTCCCTCGGTGAAGGAGGCCGGTGCAGAGGGGGGGAGGCAAACCCAACACGTTACTGAGTTGACCTGTGTGATACAAGTTCCTTGTGAAACAAAACATCAACTGAAAAGAAAACCACATGGGAACCCCTCCCCCCCATTATTATTTGATCTTGCTTTAAATGGAAAGTTTTGGACACTTTAGAAAAAAAAGGCAGCAAGTGACTTTTTAATGGATTTTATCCACAGGAAAATGATTACAGCCAGAAAAGCTTTAAAGTGTCAGCTGGTGATGCATTTCTCTTTATCCCTTTTTATTTTTATTCAGAAAGAAATTGAAGGCATATGGCAAAGTGCATCATTAATTTCTTATTAATTTCATAATACTGAAGGCAACCAGTTAAAATAGTAGTGTACAACTTTAAATTACCGAACTCACTTGGTATTTAATGAGAGATTCAGCACAGCAGGGTTTCTGTTAAATTAAGTTGTGCCTTCACATCACAGTGGGAGAACAGGTGGATATTGGTTTAGAATTATGGAAATGTTGACTAATTCCAAGGCTTGTAATCAAACAGCAAGGTACCCTGTAATATTTTTTCCCCAAGAATATGCATTAATCTTTTATGTCTGGTCCCATGGCTTCCTGTCCACAAAAGGTGCACAGCTGAAAGGCAACCACCTTCATACCTTTCCTATGGCTGTTAAGGGTGACGTTTACCAGGTGACGCTGCACACAGGTGCAAGACATGGCACTTTGTCCTCACTGTCCGTATTAGAAGTGGCAAAGGAAGCAAGTGTGTACAGAGTAAAGGCGACTAGCCTTACAAGTAAGACCTGACTTTTCAGATTTTTGATTAACCTGCCTCTAGAGAAAAAGAAAATCAAAAGTAATACACAAGCCATCTTTGCCAGCTCCCACATAACCATCCTTTATCATGGGTCTCAAAAACCACCACCCATCCCTGGATTCCTCGTGCAGAATTTTTAAGAAAAAGAGAAAGAAAACATATGCACTTTTTAAAAGAAAAATATAAAATATGCGATTCGTTACCTAAGAAGAGTCAGACATCCCAAACCCACCCTGATAAGTCATTTCTGTGCATTTACTGGGCCCCTTCGTGACATGAACCCTGGGTCTCCTGAGCCCTTCACACACAAGGTCACTAGAGCCATGCTGCTAACAGAGGGGACGAACCCAGACACCCAAGCTTTGTGTTCACGGAAACCTGATGCCACTGCCATGACACTCTGCTGTACCCTGAAGGATAAATAACAACTCATCACATCACATAACTTCTTAGGAAACACTAACAGGAGGGACTTTGTGTGCTAATCACTGTCAAACCTGTCTTTTTAAGAGAAGGCAGTCAAAGCAAGCTGTTGGTTGAACCAGTAAGTATTTGCCTTGGTTCTCTCATTCCATAATGTGACACTCCTAGAATTTACATCGGAAAAATTCTTTCTACAGGGAGAACGAAGCTGAACTACTGCTACTTTCTCTCCTGGCAGCCGAGCTTAACAAAGGCAGGCTTGCTTAGGACCACCTGCGTGATTTCCGGGAGAAGCAGCTCAATGGGGAAGGAGCGTTCTGGTGCCACACGCTTGCTTTTTTGAACCTTGTTTTCTTTGACTTCCTCATGTGAAAAAGGGAATAACCCAAGTGGTAGGATTCAAGAGGGTCACAACTCTGACTTTGGGTGATGGAGAAGCTAACATTTTGAAAACCTTTTGTTAGGAGCGTCTTGCCGCTGCAAATGGACAAAATTTTCAGGGATTCTAAAGTGAGCCACACAAACGCGGTCTTGTCTGGGTGAGTGGGGGCTACGGGGCTTACATGTGAGTAGGCTGGTGCGTGTGGGTATGTGTTCAGAGTCGGATGAATGACAGTCGGATTTTAATCACACCCTGAAAGCATCAGGGACGTTATGTTACCTTTCTTTTATTCTTAGCAAACCAGGTTTCAATACAGTCATCATCACTCCACTGGTTCTTCCTCAGAACCAATATGTGTCATTGTGATACTGGACGCACTTGTGACTGATACTTGGGTCAATTGGGAAAACATTCAAACAGCACAGAGAAACTAACTGTAGCATCAAACAGCGGCAGGCGACATAAGAGGCACAAAGCCCTTTAGACAGAACGTATTCTGAGGAAGCTGGTACGTGCAATGCCCGTTCATTTCTGGTGAATTGTACTAACCATCAAACATGCCCAGGGAGGAAATGGGGAAAAAATTGCGAGCGCTGTATTTTCTGTTCTCTATCAACACGAAGCCACAAATTGGGCATTAAAACATTGACTTTGTTAACCACCACTGGCTGTTTAGAAACCATTAGGAGGCTTAATATTATGGCTGTACAGGGTACGTTTTGTCCTTTCAAAAGAAAATCTGAAGACAAAATTTGAAAAGGGGCTCCCGGGGAGTAAAAGCTTTTCCTTTTCCATTGGCTTCTCTCGTGTATGTTGGGTTCCCCCCCGCCCCCTTTTAAAATCTTAGCCCACCCAATACTCTTTGCAGCTGCTGCTGCCCAGTGGGGTCACTCTGATTTTCCAGCCGGGGGACCTGCTATTTGAGAGCTCTTCCCGGCAGCGTTAATGCCAGCTCTGCTCTAGGGGCTGGCCAGCTGGTCTGGCTGCTGCAGGGAACAGAGGGTCAGCACACACTCCTCAAAAGACCAAAGTCATTTTTGGCACTAAGAGCCCATAACTAGAACCTTCAGTTGAAAGGACCATTTTCAAGCAATAAAGTGATTCTGGTACAAAAGTAAACCGACTCACCCCAGGTAAAGTTTTAATATTGTGCAGTGCATTCTGGGCCTCAAGTGCAGCTTTTCTTGTATAAAATGTTACGAAACAACAACCTACAGAGAGAAATGAAAAGGTTTTAGAAATTTCTGTGAATGCTTTGCTTAGATATAATGGAGACTGTGGCAAACAAACAATCTACTTAAAAGGATGCACAATTTAAAAGTAATAAAGCGTATGGGAACAGTAATAACATCTCAAGCATTTACCCAGCGCCTTTTCACCCTAAATCACATTCATTAGCTTTAACCATGTTGGAGTCAATTCATAAGGCCCTGCGTCGGCCATCTGGAACACAGCTATTCAGGAATGAGGGTGGGAGGTGGGGGTGAGATGGGTGAGGTGTTAAGGGGATTTGTGGGTAGCTACTACATCAAGTATTTAATCACAGTAACAACAGCACGAGCTTACAGCAAATTACAATTTTCTTAAAGGGTATCTTCTCTAGAACATCAGATTTTTGAAACACTTTCTCAGAAGTTGGACAGTTGGATTATAAGCTTCCTAAAAGCTGAGATAGTGAGGTTTTTATTTTTTTAAAAAATCTCTACCATAGTAAATAATGCAAAGTTCCATTTCTGTGATGCTCGATACTTACTTGCCAAAAATCAAAGACTATGTTTTAACCAGCTTAGAAAAGAACTTACAATATAAATTGGTACACACTCAAATAGATGTGAGCAGACTCTGGCCCCCCGCATTGAAAAGGGCTGTGGCACACCAACTGGCAACCACTTAACTACTCATTTCCAAGAATATAGGCCACTGGGGCCCTTCCAGGGCAGAACGGCACATCCCCTACCCTCTTTCTAACCAACCTCCTCCTCCAAAGAGCAGGTGTTGAAAGCTTAGACTTCCTGCGTGTGTCCTGAAGGATGTCTGACCCCTACCTCAACCTGACGATCAAGGTACTGGTTAACAGTTTTTTAATCCGCCTATGTACAGGTTCCCAGTACAACTAGGTTTGGGGAAAAAAAGGGCATAGACCCAAACTATCGAGATTGAAAGAAAAGAGATACCACTTTTGATCTGGGCTGCCTTTGGGAAGTCGAGCTGAGAACGTGGGACGAGGTGCTCAGTGAGACCCTATCTGTTTCACCTCAGCTTTGGTGAGACAGAGCCAGACAGGGCTGGAGAGCTCTGAGAGGCACCCCAACGGCAAGGACATGGACAGCACGCAGAAGATGCGCAGCACGCAGGCGTCCACAGCGGTCTGTTCAGGGGAAGCATGCAGGTGAGACAAAGAGCAGAGCCAGATGACACAGCTGCAGGCAGGGAGCCGGCACCGGGGGCCCCCAGAGCTTTGCAGTCAGACACCAGCATTCGGATTCCTCCAAATAAAGACTCATTCAAAGGAGCGGGAGGATAAAGTACAATCCCCTTCACACAGCCTTCCTGAAGGTATCTAAGATGCTTCCTCCCCATCTGGAAAGGAAATCTGGAATCTTGTTCTTACACTTCATTATTCAGAATCTGATAAGATTAAATGGAATCGGTACAGAACTTTCAGCTTTTGGACAAAGAGTAAGAGCACAGCTTCTTGGCACCTATGAAGCTCCTTGAATCTCAGCATCAGAAACCAAAAGGAACTGAAAATTACCAAGTGTCTCAAAGCACTCATAGATGGAGAGACTATTTTTATGTGAGCTTTTCACATTGGCTCTCGCGACTTCTTTGACTAGAGGTCACTGGGCCATGTTGCTTGATGGTAGATTTTTTTACTGGAGAGATCAACGAAATGAGTGATTTCAGCTTCACAGGTCTAATGTAAGCTCCGGAAAGCTATGGAAATTGCTTAATTTTGAAAAAGAAAGTCAAGTCCCAGCTTCCAGTAACCCACAGTCATCATTCTTAGAAGAGGAGAAATACCAACTGCGCTTTGCTAGGCTTCATAGAGAGAAATAAGACAAGCCTTCTCAGCACTTCTGACAGACAGACTCAGGACGTTCTCCTTTCCCTCTCCTGGGCTTACAGGGTTAGTTTCTAGATAAGGAACAACGGGGACATTCTGAATTTCAACCTTGTGTAACAAAGTTTTAATAAAAGAGGCAGAATCTGACACTTTCAAGCTGGTAAGTTTTTGGGGTGGTGGTGGTGATATGCTTAAAAAAGATTTAGCAACGGAGCAGTTTTCTCGGCTACAGAGAAAGAAATCAAAGAAGAGGAAGATCGGGAAACGAGAACAAAGGCCAGTATGGCCTTGCCGGAGTCAAGAGCGGCAAGTTTAGTTGGCCTAACAGAGACGTGGACGGACAGGGAAACTGAAAATGGAGAAGTGAACGCAGCGGTGAGATAGAGACAGCGAGGAGCAGAGATGATGTGAACCGAGAGAACCGCGTGCCGTGACACTGGGCCCAACACACAGTGGGCTCCGGAATAAAGGACATTTTCCTCCTTAGATGCCTGAACAAAATCCCTGCACTTCCTACTACCCAGTCTGCCAGGAAGGTGCAGTCCATTGGTATTTAAATGTGACCGTGCTGCCTTTGAAGGAGCAAACCACATTACTCTTGCCTCCTGGTTACATCTCAGTATCTGAGTCTGGCAGCTTACATATTGTGCCTTCATCTTGATAAGGTTCTTTGTGAACACAAGGTGGGTGGTTTTTGTTTTGCAGAAAAGGCAAGTTCACAGTTTGCATCTGAGCAAGGTGAATGGCAGGTGAAGAGTGGGGAGGACTGAAGAGTATAATGCCCAGAAGGGGACAGGGGAAGACACCCAAGTTTCAAACTCTTCCCAATTTCAGCCAGGGTCCACACTGCCTGTGCCGTCAGTACAGTGAAAACAGGGGTCACCGCTACACACTGTTCTTTACTGTTTCACCGCACACCCACTAGAATAAAGACTCTTCGAGATCATGCCAGCAGCTCTAGCTTTAGTGATAGGCAGACTCCTTGCAGATAACACCCCAACTCAACAGCTCAGCCCCAGAGCCTCTGTGGTTGGCAGGGGAGCTTAAAGCCTTTGTGTGAACTGGAAAATGGTGTCCCATCTCCGGGCTGGCACTACTCCCCGCCACAGCCCAGGGCTTGGTGAGCAGAGATCAGGCTGGACCTCTGCCCCTACTCAGGCCTCAGCTGGGCAACCCGTGATGTAATATGCACAACGCGAGGGTCCTGGGCTAGACAAGAAGATGGGGAATATTACCCGAAGATTCTTCTTTTGGTTTCATGCTTCTGGGTGCTGAATGACTTGGGGAAAGTACCTTACTTTTGTTGTACCTTACCTTAGTAAAAAACAAGTCTGCCTGAAATCCTCCCCGAAACTACATGGAGATATAGTCAGAGGGCTTCACTTGGGACAAACAAAAAAGGGTCAAAATTACTCTTTATCTTTATTGGGCTCAAAAAGTCTTATGCTTCATTTGGCATTCCTAATGATTCACTTAGCAAATACAGCCTTTAGTTATCTTAACATGTTTAGGACAAACACAGACTCCAAATTTAAAGTCGCCTTAGACGCATGTGAGTCCTAATGGGATCTAGGTTCCTATGTTTCCAGAAACTGGAATAAGCCTGAAAGATTGCTGTTCCTCTGGGTGCTCTCCAAGCTACCAACCAACCATAGTCTTTTCTTTAAAAAAAAAATAAAAAACCCAAAAAAACTCCCAAACCCCCCAAACTGTCCATCACTTATTACGCTCACTTGAAGTCTTAGATTCCCTGACCTGCAGAGAGCATTTCCACAAAGGAAGAGAAAAATATCACTATTTGCCCTGGAATGGTAATTATTATGGCAAAAGGTCAGGGAGCTACCGCGGATCCCAGAAAGCCCACGAAGGCCCAACAAGGATGAAATTTTTTTTCTTGCCAGCCTAACTGAACGTACAGCTGTTAAGGGAACCACCTGTCTCTTCCCTTTCCCCACGCCAGCTGTAACTCAGGTCTGAGATGCACTGGATTCATTTCCAGGTCAGCTGCAACACCAGATGGCTCGCAATCTGACTCAGGGACAGGCCGCCCCCCCTGCAGGCTCTGTTTCAAACATCAGCGGAAGGTGGGTGACTAAATATCTACAACACCCACAGATGCTCTTCCACGGTTAGTGGCCACAACATACATCCAAAGGGGAAGTCCCTTGGGCCTCGGTTGTCATTCCTGGAAGCCCCTCTCCAGGCCGCCCATGGAGAGGAGAGAAAGGCCCTGCCCTGTGTCCAAGAGGAGAAGTGACGGTCAAGGGACCCAGATGAACAGACGAGGATGCAGTGTGATGAGTCAGGAGCTTCAACACGTCTCAACCCTCTTATTTCTGCTTAAGGCTGGTAATTTTTGCTGCTTCGTGTTTTTCTAGGAGGCCCATTCGACACCGTCTAATGAGCACTTGGACTGTACGAGGCAGGCTGGGGTTTATCTACTCATTCAGGAGTTAGGACAGGTAAATACCATGCTTCACACACACCCAGGCCACTTTATGCTGCCTTTCCTTTCAACCCATTGGATAATTGTAATAATAAAACCTTCCAGGGGTGTCCAACCTGCTGGGGCCCACAGGCAGCATGAGGATTATAGGAGGACTTTTTTGCTTATCTGTGGTGGCAGGTATTACACAAGTTATGCTTGGACCTTTTGTTTAGCTCATCAGCTTTCATTTGTGTTTGTGTGTTTTTTTTTTTTTTTTTTTGAGACAGAGCCTCAAGCTGTCCCCCTGGGTAGAGTGCCGTGGCATTACAGCTCACAGCAACCTCCAACTACTGGGCTCAAGCGAGTCTCCTGTCTCTGCCTCCCAAGTAGCTGGGACCACAGGCGCCCGCCACAACGCCCGGCTATTTTTTGGTTGCAGCCGTCATTGTTGTTTGGCGGGTCCGGGCTGGGGATTCAAACCTGCCACCTTAGATGTGCGTGGCTGGCGCCTTAGCTGGTTGAGCTATAGACGCCGAGCCTGTGTTTGTGTTTTTAATGTTTGGCGTTAGACAGCTCTTTTCATCCTCCCAATGTGGCAGAGAGAAGCCAAAAGGTTGGACACCCCTGCATGGACCTTAGAGCAAAAGAAAAAAATCCTTCGTGTGTTAGTTTATCCAACTCCCCTCCCCTTTACTCCTCACCCAAGACTTCTTAAA